ATCCATTCATCTGTCGATGGACATCTTGGCTCTTTCCACAGTTTGGCTATTGTGGACATTGCTGCTATAGCAATTGCACTACTGGGTATTTACCCCAAAGATACAAATGTAGGGACCCGAAGGCGTATGTGCACCCCAATGTTTATAGCAGCAATGCCTACTTTTTAATTGACTGTTACTGTTGCGTTTTAAGAGTCCTTTGCATATTTTGAACACCAGTCTTTTATCAGATATGCGTTTTGCAAAGAATTTTTTTTCCGGTCTGTCTGGTCTTTTCATTTCCTTAACAGTGTCTTTGACAGAGCAAAAGTTTTAATTCAGTGAAGTCCAGCTTATCACTTTTCTCTTTCATGGATCACACTTTTGGTGCTGTACCTCAACTGTTCATTGCCAAACACAAGCTTGCCTAGATTTTCACCTGTGTTATTTTCCAGGGAACAGTTTTCTTTTTTTCAGCCTATTGGTTTCTCAAGACTGCATATAAGTTGATACAAAGAGAATGAGTATTGGACATAAACCCTATTGATTATGTCAGTAAATCTACAATTGATGCTTAAGGAAATGTTAAGTTTTAAAAAGGGTATCTCTTAATAGTGTTAACATAAAATAAATTCATTCTAAGATTATATTTTTGATGATTTACCATATTGTTCAAAATACTTCCCTATTTTAGGAAATTTTAACTCTGATTTATTCTTTTCAGGAAGTGACATTGTTTTTAGTCAGCCTCAAGACTCGGCAATTCTAACATTTTTATGTATATATTTAGAGCTTAAAACCCAGTCTTTGCAAATCCTTGCAGTTTCTGAGAAGCTTTTCTCTAAGGTCACACACCTTCTTTTAATGATCCCATTGGAGATAGTTTTGTTTGTGTTTTGAATAGGTTAGCGGCCCCAGTCAGCTGCAGTCCTGTTCTAATAGGAATTACACTGTAATAAAGAGAGATAGAGACAAACGGACTGACTTAAACCTCCCCATATAAGGAAAAGATGATGATTTCACTTTTAGAGGAAGGCTCTCAGGAGAGCTGAAAAGAGTCTCTGCACTGATGTCTGGCTTCAGCTTCCCTGAGAATGCACATGAGCCCATTCTAAGAGGATTTTGGGGGCCAGGTAGTGATTGAATTCTGAGAAACATTTGTCAAGGTGTTAGAGGGTGGGTTGTAGGTATCAAGCAGAAATATGGTTAGAGGGAATGAACTTCTGAACTTTCTGCTTCATCATAACCTGACTCTTGCTCTTAGAGACAGGTTAAGGAAGAGTATATCTGGGGTGATACAGTGTTGTTATATATAAGAAACTGGTTAGGACTTGCCTGGGTTGTATCCTTGGGTTGAAAAAAAGCTCCAAGTATTGTGAATATCTCAATGATGACAACTGTCCACTTAGCAGTTTCTTGAGTCACAGTGCTCCTGTATATATTGTCTGGCAGCTCATTGCATATGTCGTCCTAGGCTTGTCTAGCCCACCTTGGAAGTTTCCTTTGCTCCTCTTGTTTGTTGCGTTCCCCATATGTTATATTGCATGCATTCCTCATCCTTGTTGCAAACTCAACTTTTGTTTGGGGAAGTACTACAGTAGCTTCTTGATAGGAGGTGTGTCCTTTATTCAATGCTTGGAATTGTTTGAAAGCTTGGATTATGTGTAAAAGTCTTAGAATGTTGAAGGCTTTGTTTCATTGCCTGCATGACTGTGTAGTTGCCTGTACCACTTAAAACCATCTAATCCCTGATCCTTTATACGTCATCCAGTTATTCCTCTCTAGAAATTCATAGACGCTTCTTTGTCCCCAGTATTCTTAAATTTTAAAATAAAATGTCTTCCTCTTGTTTTATTGTTATTGTGTTGGGCAGCTGCCGGGCAATTTCAGTTTGCAGCGAATGTTCTTCAGTTCTAAGAAATATTTTTTATTTTGTTTATTTCTGATAATTACTCCTTTCTCTTTTCTCTGGTTTTTGGAACTCCTATTATTTGAATGTTGGACCACTTGGCCCAGCCTTATTTTTCTTTGTGTTTGCCTCGTATTTTATGCCTCCTTTTATTTTTGCTCTATTTTTATGGAGATTTTCTCAACTTTGTCTTCTATTCTATTAAACTCTATTTATTCTATCAATTTTTTTATTTTCAAGAATTTTTTTGTTCTCTGAATGATGTTCCTTCTCCTTTTTCTTCCTCATATTCTTTATCTTCTTTTATATACTCTGTTTATATTTCATGGGTGGAATATTTTCTTTTAACTCTCTGAGGATTCCCTAGAGAAGAGGCTTCAAATCGCTTTCCAAAAAGTTAGGGCTCTGGCTGCCAACTTTTGGAGAGCCTAGTGAGGGAAGAAATTTGGGGATCTCTGCATTCTTCAGATGGTCAGTTAAGCCCCATTATCTGCAAAGTAATTGCACCTGCCAAGAGTGGTTGGTGGAATCTCGTCATCTATTTTGGCTACCCCCTCCATCCTCAGTTTGTGAGGCATCTGATACTGCCAGTTTGCAAGACTTCTGAGAGTTTTGCTGTATAAATCATATTGGTTCTCATCAATCCCACCCATGGTTTAGGATTAGACTCTATAGGAGCTCTGGGTCATTTACCAATTTTCTATCTGCTTCATCTGTTACTGTCTGCTCACTGTTTCTCCTCTCTTTTCTTGGTTTATGTCTTTAAAAAATCCATTTAGTGTAATTTAGCAGTATTTCTGGTAAGAGAAAAGAAGGTGTTAAATCTGCCATCTTAACTAGGAAACCAGCTTGTTCTTTATTGCTTAGAACTTATAAATTCCATTTGATCCCTGTAATAAAAGTTCCATTATGTAGGTTGAGTGTTGGCTGTTGCTTACGGGAGTCAAGTAATATCTCTAATGCCAAAATAAGATGAGTCATCAGGATCGGGGATAATGATGCTAACGTTCAAGTGACAACTACTTTCATTGTTCCCAATTAATATGAAGGAAACTTCACTGAAGTGGTAATTGTCACTATTGTAAAAGGAAGGTGATAATTTTCCACAAATTTCTGCTTTCTCTGCCATGTCAAGCTCCAAATGAAACTGTCAGATCATAGTATTTTTATATTACAGTTATTTTTCTAATCACAGAAAGAGTAGAAGTTTGTTTTAAGAAAACAGGAATATAATTTATGGAACTACCAGCTAATCCTTACAGTATTATGATAAGCTGAAAGATATATGATGAGATGTGTTCATTTTCTAGCTGAAGTTGCTCAAAAGATAGTAAAGGGAGTACAGGAGAAAGAACATTGATGTTTTGGTTATTCATTTTTAAATATAGTGTTATATTTAATCTTCACAAAATTCTAGGAGGTACCTATCCTAAATACCATAGTCTTCACTTTAAGGATCAGAGGAACTGAGTAATTTACAGGACCAAAGAGCTAATGTGAGTAATTCATAAGATTAAAGCAGCGTTGGGATTTGGATCCGAGAGAGAATGACTATAAATCCTTTGTACTGCATACTGCTACTTTCATAGGATAGATTTGACAGCAATTGTCAGTAATCATGATATGAAATTGTGGTAGAGAATGCTTTTTTAAAAGCCCGATTAATAGCTAACATCAATCAAAAGCACTCTTTCTCTTAATTGACTTCTTGAGGAATATTGCAAAGTAGCTGATTTTATACTTATAGTAGGAACTGTATGACTCGTCTTTGAAAACTTTTTCCTAGCTCTACCTTCTTGATTCTAGGTCTGGAATATCTATTCTTTAATTGTAGTTTAAAATATCTGCTACCAAGTACATGGAATTTATGACCAGATTAACTCCAAGCATTGATAATAGAAGGAAATCAGAGATGTTGACAGGATTCCTGCATTTCTATGATATGTGTCTCCTAATTTAAGTAAATAGATGAGTATCGATCAAGTTTCATTTCTCTACACTGGCACATTTGAAATTAAGACTAAACATCCCTAAGTAGGATTCTAACATGGGCTCTCATGTTAGTTATATTTTATTTCCACAACATTTGACTGACTTTCTAGGCCAAAATTCTAGCTTTTCCTACTCATTCCTTAAGTGTCAGAAATCTTTAATCTTTCTTTACTTCAGTGGATAACCTTCTTTGTGTCTAGGTAGAAGTCTAGCTGAGGATGATTATTTTAATCAGTACTTTTAGGAATCTCACTGAATTTCCTTTCCATTCCTTTTAAAGATGCGTGATTACCATACTGATGACTTTTTTGATGTTCCTGATTATATTCAAAAAGAAGAGAAAAACTATTTTTCCAGATTATTAAACTAAACACGTAACACTTGCAGGGCTCCTTACCCTTTTACTTACTGCCCCCTTTGCTCCAATCCAAAGCATGCTCTGTCTCCTGCTCCAAACCTTTGTTTTTTTGCCTCACCTGGAAAGCTGACTTAGCCCTTGAAGATGTACTTTCTCTTTGACACTTGAACACACTCTAAGCCCTTCTCCCCCTTTTTACAAACTCTTATTGACTATCTACCACTGCTCTATCAGACATTATGGTTGTGAAGGTAAACAAGACATTCTTGGTGAGAGAGTCCACACTTAAGCACATGTTTACATAGTTCTACACAACGATGGATGCTTTCAAGCTTTATGTATGTAGGACTTTGTTTTCCATTAGAGACATCAATACCGTACCCTGTTCCTTTAGGTTGCCAATCCAAGAGCTTATAATGAGAAACTATTTCTTTTTCTTCAGACTATCCTCACTTCTCTAAGTAAAAGAGCCAATGGGACCTCATATCTTACAGAGAGACTTAAATTGCCCTCCAGGCAAGAAGTAGTCCCTCTCTCCTATAGTTTTCAAATGACTAAGCTCATACATTTAATGTAGCCTATGCTACAGTTATTATTGTTTATATGTATCTTCTCTATGAAGATGAGTTCCTCGTGAGTTCCTCAAGATTTCTCCATGCATTTTATATGTATTTTATACTCTGTATTATTAATTTTAATGCATTTTGCATTTTCAGACCCATTTATTGATGATGAGACTTTAAAAATTCAATGAATGAAAGATTTTAGAAAATCTTTAGTGAACACCACTGTCCTGTCATGTGCTTGCTAGACTTAGTTGGATAACTCAGAAATTCAAAGGGTATTTTTTTTTGGCTAAATTATGGATTTAATAGTACAACTGTACTTTTACAATTAGAAATAGGCAATATATTTTTTGAAGTTTTGGGAAGGAGACAATTTTTCAGGAATCTTCCAGTGATCTCTGACCTAGGAAGTTCTATCCATTAAAGCCATTGTGGAACGTTTGCCACCACCTAAATAGAGGGTATTTAAGACACGTAACAGCTTTTCCTAACTGTTCCCTGAAGCCCTGCTGCTGCCACATTTACATTGACCATGTTTAAAGTCAGTGGGATTTTTAAGCTGCAAACCTTCTAGAAGTTTTTATTTATTTTAAACATTTCATGCCTAGTTAGTTCTGGTGTTGGCCACCAGGTAGCAACAGTGTCTTGAGTACCTCAAGTCTCTTAAATAGGGAACCGTTGCAAACTGACAGAAAGATTAAACCCCATGCATTCAGGAGGGAAAGGAGTAAGGGTCCAGAATCATGATTCTTAAATTCCTCTCTGGCGGTACGTTGACTATGGAAAATGCTGGCATAAATTATTAGCTGGCTGTGAGTCGCCTCCCAGCCATGTCTCACTGTTCCCATGACATTACACTTCATATCAGGGCCACTGAGACAAAATGCAGTCTGGCCAGGTGGCAAGGGACAATATGACTCATGCAAGGAAAGCATCCACAGTAAAGAGTTTGGGTCCCAGGGGAGGTTTGAGGAGAATTTTGGATATTGAAATGTCCAAAACACTAATAGTATTTATGAGATACTTTTTTAACCCTAAGAAACACATTTATGCCAATCTAGAAAAATCAAATATGTTATTTTAGACTTTTCTCTTTCCTTCACCCTTAGCTATCCCTCTGGGTATTCTAGTTGTGCGCGGAGACTGTGATTTGGAGACTTGCCGTATGTACATAGACCGCCTACAGGAGGTGAGTTTCTTTAGCCAATTATTTATTTTCAGTTTTCCATTTTTATAAACAATTACCAGCCATATATATTTACTTCTGAAATGCTGCATCTGGGGAGAAAATGGAAGCGTGGTGTCCTTGTCCTTTAAGCATTGACCACATCTCTCTCCCCGACCCCCACTGCTATTTTCCCTCCTCAGGTGGTTGAAATGGGAAAGGACATTGCTCTAGTGTGATCCATAACTATAGCTTGGAACTTCTTGTCTTCTTGCCAGACTACATCCAGTGTTTTTTGAGCTATATAAATTTCAAAGGGTCCTGATCAATAATGAAGGAGAACAGAGAGTTAGGTTATTTAATGTTTTGTATCTACCACAGACTTCGGCCAGAGATCACTACATTTTTTAAAAATATAACTTTCACAGGAAAGAAAGACCTTCTATCCTTCCTAGGAATGTGTGTCCAAACACAGAAGAATACACTAGTTGGTTCCTCAGTCTGGTTTACCATAGAGAAAGACAATGGAAGAGACCTCATATATGCCATTCCCACGAATTTGAGCTGCACCAGCCAAGTCAGGAGACCCAGACCCATCACTGTGGTGGTTATTGATTGTTTTTGCCAAACTTTGAGAGGGAGTATTCTCTGTCTTCATTTTACAAATGATGAAAAGCATAAATAGCCACTTCTTCATCATTTTTTCTTGATGAAAGATGTTAAAGATTAAAATCATTTTTTCCTGGATGTGGTCTAGACATTTGTATTTTTTAAGCTATTGGGTAATTCTTATAGATACCACAAGATGAACAACTCTCTTCTAGATGACACGTTCTCCATAAGTAAATACCACAAATAAAGAAGATATATAACGCTTAAAATACCATCAGGTTGTAGCCACTTAGCTTTAAACATGAGATTCTAGTTCTCTTGGTGGCAATAAATTCAGGTAAGAGACATAAAGTAACATGAAAAATTATTAAGTTTCCTTTTCAGCATTTTTAAGGATAGAGATGGAATTGTAAACACAATATATTTTGAGGTAGAGACCAAACTTTGAATACTGATATGGGTGAGAGAAGTAAAATCAGCAAATTTTACACTTGTGGCTTCATATGGATTTTTTTTTTTTCCCAAAGACACTTTAACATGTTAAAATTTGTGGACTTAGTAGTGTGTGACTCAGGGTCAAATCGATAGTCCTCGAATACCACAGTATCTCATTTTTCCAAATAATGTTTTTATTTTATTGTGAAATCTCCCCCAAAAAACCTGCAATAAAAAGGCAAATCATAAATGATACAAAACCTTTTTTTTTTTTTTAACTCTTGGGTAACTTAAGATTTCATGGTAGTCCATGACATGACTGATGAATTGACTTTGTTGAAAACTAACTTATTGGCATGCATGTAATATCAATATTCAACTAAAAGCGGGATTCTTAAAAAAAGAGGAAAAAGAATGAATGAATGAACTCAAAGAGGAAACGTTTTAAAACTAAGTTGGGCACAGAGAGTAGGTTGGTAAAGCCCTGTGGGAAGCAGGTATGAGGACAAAGGTACCCAGGATTGCTGACATCTGTGAATAGAATCACTACCCTCATTAACAAGGAAGCCTTCAGGACATGATCATGGTGACAACTTAGTTATAAAACTTTATAAAGAGAGCCAGACTCTCAGAATCTGCCAGTAAAACCTCATTAATTTCAACGCTACTAATTTGCACTTCATGATCGTGCAGAGGTGGCCAGTGATTTTCTCTTGGCTATCTATGAAAACCTGTGTTTGCCAAGCACTTAGCAGTAGAAACACAATTACTTGGACAGTTTGTATTTGGTCTAAGATCAATAAATTCTTTCTAAGTACTTAAAAGGATTTTAGAAGCTTTCTTCATAAGCCAAAAGTTCAGGTGCAAATTAAATATGGCTCCATTTATTAAAACGAAATTGCCTGGTTTTTACTTTTGGTCTTCTTGATCCTTGAAACTGTATCACTCACCTCTAAAACTATTTAGGATATATAGGTTTCAGTAGCTACATGGCCTTTCTTCTCTCATTCCAGGTTGGTGTGTTTTTGTTATTTTGGGCATTATCTTCTTTGTCTCAGCTTGATGAATTTGAAAGAGTTATAGATACTTCCTAGATGAGTTTAATAATACTAAATTGGGGGTTCAGTTGATAGAGTTATAGAGACAGCTTGTCCAAACTAATCTTAAGGTATGGATTTTTTTTTTTTCCATTTTCTCATTAGGACCTGCAGTCAGTTTCTTCTGGCTACCAGAGAGTTCATTACCAGGTAACACATAATTGACCCCCCCGTGGTTGTTTTCTTAGCTCCCCCACAAAAAGAAGGTCCATCTTTCAATCAATACTTCATTTGGATTAGAGGCCACATCTTCCCTAAGGATAGAGTTCACACGAAGAACCGAGTGAAGTGGACATTCTGATTCTTTTATATTTTCCTGGTTTTGGACTACTCTAGCACAAATTTGGACTGTGGATTTTCTCCCAGATCATTTAGAAAAGATTACAAAATGAAGTGCTTTCAATGATAAATATTAGAAACTCAGTTCAAATTAGCTTGACAGGGAAAGTCTTACTTGTTCACATCAGCGAGAAGTTCAGATCAAAGGTGGATTTTACGTACCATTGGTCAAGCTTCATGCTTCAGTTTTCTGCTGGTCTTTCTGCTCTGTTCCCCTTGTCTGTCAATTTCACCTCTGAACTAGATGTTTCCGTGCCCAAGATGGCTACCATTAGTAACCAGGGCTGCATGTTTCTTCTTCACATCCAGAAAAGTTAGTTCTCTGTTTCCCACAACCATCAAGCAACTGTTCTAAAATGCAGTCTGACTAGCACATCTTGGTCTTTTGGACAAGATCTAAGAAATCCAGCCTGCCTCTCGTGACCCACACCAAGTCCTCAGGAGAACACTCAGATATCCTTTGCCCCAACAATCTTTGGGAGGACAATTATCTCCCCACTTCCCTGTCCTGAATCTGTTGCACTCTGTAGCCATCCTCTTACAAATTAGATTTCTCAGGCATGGTTCAGATCCCAGTGTACAGTCTCCCCCAAACTGTAAGGGGCAAACATGAAGCTCTGAGTGGTCCCAGTAAAGCCCTTTTCTCTGAGAAGCCATTTCCCTTCCCTACTAGAGAGGTGTGTGGGAGTCAGAGCATGCCAAGACTCCCTCCATAAATAAATCCTGTCCTAGACCCTTTCATATCTCCATGTGGGGGACAGGTGTTTAAAGATGTCTCAATCTGTGAATCCTGGTTTAGCACCTCACATTTGCTTTTGGTTTCTTTTTTGCTACACCCTAAGCATCCTCTCATATAAAAAACATTTTTTTTAAACAACAATTTTTCGAAACTTTATCTTGTAACCTCTAGGTAGCTTCTCTGTCTGCTGGTGGATACCCTACACCTTCAGCCAAGGCGGCCTCATTATCCTGAGGCTTAACGACAGGAACAGCCTTGGTGTTCTTACTTGTTTGTAGGTTTATGTTTCAAACAAAGTACCCCACTAGTCAAGAATCTTTTTTTCCATCTGGCCACAATAAAAAGGATAAGAATTCACTTAGGGTTTGTTTACATTGAGAAAGTAAACTCTACTTCTGAGACTTTTTTATCAACCATCAAAAGACTAATTTCCACTTTATTTTTTTAGATAGAGCACAACATTCCTCCCATTGGTTATTTGCATATTTACCTGAAGCCACTAAGTTTAATTTTATTTTTAAAAGTTTGGTACTTTTAGAGGCTGGGGCTGATCTCTAGTCTTTGAAAACTGACCCTGTTATGTATAAGAGTTATGAATTTGTCTGGTTTCTTCAAGAGTTTTTACTCTTCACTCATGAACATTTTGCATCTTTGCATTTTTATCAAGACAGTTCAGATATTTTTTTCTAAGTAGTTTTATGAAACTAATACATCTATTTATTATTCTGGCTTATTTGATGTTGTCATTTTGGTGTGAGAGTTTTGGTAGGTGGATATTTTGTACCATGTTTTCTTTATACCATATTTGTACATGTTCTCCCAGAGATCAGGAGATGGTTGAGACTCCAGAACATGAGAAGGGTATTCGTTTCAATAGTTATTTTGTAACAGAAACATGCAGAAGAATTTGTGGTATTTATCTAACTATATCAAAAGCTTGTTGTGTTTTTTTGGGTTCCTTGCAGTCAAGTCAAACTTTGGTGTCAAAACTGCTGCATTATAAACGTCATGTCAGAAGGTTTTATGTACTGATACATAGGATAACCAATTCAGTGACCAAACCTGAGTGTCAGGAGTACTACTGTGCCCACACCCCTCCTTAATACCCAAAGGGTATTAAGGAATGAATGGAATAAAGGAAATCTAGGGCAGCCCAAGATCTGCTCATGTAATAAGAAGTTTACCTGAAGGAGACTGTTTGAATTAACATGGCCACAGAGTAGAAAGAGGGTGGTGAGGAAATTTCCTGAGTGGAGCAAAGGAGAGCTGCTTGAGGCAAGGAGTTGGGGGAAGATAAACATTCACATATGGCTGGGACCTTGGGCAGTCACGAAGAGGAGAAGTGAGTGAGAGGGATGGTGAATAGAAAATTCTGTTTTAGCCACCCTAATTTTGTTATGCCTATTAGATCCAAGAGGTTTTGGTGTGTAGAAAATGAGATCTGTGAATTTTAAAGCTCACTGAAAAATTCAGGTCTGGAGATAGAAATTTGTGGGTCATTAGGAAGTAGATGGTACTTAAAACTATAAGGCTGGAGGCAATCACCCAGGGAGAGCTTAGATAAAGAAGAAGGCTCGAAGTCACACCTGCTTGTACTAATGGGTCAAAAAGAGCACAACTTTAAGAGAACCATCAGTCAAGAAGGGTCATGGAAACTGAGATGAGCAGCAGGAAAACTGGAAATCAAGGAGAAGGTAGTATCATGAAAGCCAAGAGTGAAATGTATTTCAGAGGAGGAAGCAGTGAAATGTGTCAGCTCTGTGGAGAGGCTGAGATGAAGTAGATTGAATTCTGTAGTATTCTGAGGACACATAGAAAAACCATAGCATAGAAGTGCTATTAGCTTTACAAAGAAAGTGACCAAACCAACTGGCAGGAAATTTAATATTAAATCTGTGTTTCCTCATGCAGAAACCGATCATATCACACTCTCTAGTCTGTCTCGGCGTGGGGGGCTTGGGGGCGATGTAAGAGAAAGACCTGTCAGAAACATGGACCACAAAGTGCCTTAAATGCATTTAAATGGACTTTCTTGTGCATGGGATAATACACAATAAGCTGGGAGAATTAACTGTGATGGCATGAATAAATACCAGTAAGTTAAGGGGAAAAAAAGTTGAGAAATTCCTATCAGCTCACTGACTGGCGGCTGACATTTTAGCTGACTGTTTTCTAAGGCTAGAAAAAACTCAAGAGAAAACCAGTATTTAGAAAGGTGTATGAGTGCCCAAGTCACCTTATTAGTGAGCCATATGGCAGTTCCTAATCATTTAAGCATGTCATTGCTTTGGTTTCTTCCTTTCCCAAATCTATAGTGAATTGCCAACAAAGCACTAAGGCTCTAAAATGACACCTTATATTAACCTAACAAGGCATTACGGGTTATACAAGAATGCGTTCGATATTTATAGCCTGCTGAAAATTCCTGCCTACACTATCTCTGAGGTCAAAATACAAAGGCCCCTCGATCTTAATGGCATCTCTTGTAACCTGTAACTGATAAATGCACTGTGTTGGCGGATTCAGGATATTCTTGAGAAGCTTGACAGATAAGGTAGAAGTCATAGAGAAATTGGACTCTGCCTCCCTATTTGATAGAAATGCTTCTTGAGGCCATCTACAATAAGATAATTCTTTCCGTGTTCCCTCTCTGGTCTTCATTATATCCCCTTTTAACCCCAAGTCATTAAGTTAAGGAGTAGAAGCAGGTACAACTGTTCTAGGGATTCTCAACGGCGTGGGGGAGGGGGGAGATTTTGCTCCTATATATAGGACATTTGGCAATTTGGACATTTTTGTATGTCACAAGTAGGAGAGGCAGTGCTCCTGATATCTGTTGAGTAAAGGCCAACGATGCTGCTAAACATCTTAGAATGCACAGGACAGCCCTCCCACAGCAAGGAATTATCCAGCCCCCTAATGTCAATAGTGAGAGCCTTGTGAACCTGAGTCATTCTGATGGCTCTCAAGACATTCCTGAGGATCACAGGCAGATGTTAAGTCCTCGATGAGGAGAGGCATAGAGGAAAGAGCAGGATGAGAAAAAATAGTGCAGGGAAACAGAGGCATCTGTGGCTAGGGCAGAAGGGAATAACAGAGAACCAGGGATAATGGAACCAGGAGCAGGTAAGGTTTTTTGTAGACACCCTGTTTCCCCCGTGTAGTGCTTGCTCTGTGGAGGACTGACGTAGTTGGCACACAGAGGTATGCTTTTCAGAATATTATGAGCTACCAATTTGAGCTTTTAAAGACTACAGTAGGATTCAATGGTAGCTGCAAAAAAAAGGAATCCATCCAGGTGATTCTTCTTTAAGAATTTATTTACTTAAAACTAACGCTAGAATGGCTGGGGTATTTCAAAATAGATAGACCATTTTCAAAAAGTTCTTCCATCTTTTAGAGACGTCTTTCATAAGAAAAAAACTCCTGATCAGATCTGCGTCTGTATCAATTTGTTCATCCTCTGATCTCTTTCCCTACTTTACATAACGACCTGATCTTCTGGGAGATGGATCTATATACTCCATCAGAGCGCTGTCCTCGGCAAACAGCATTTGCTCATAAATACTTGATCTATTTCTTTTCTCTTCATATTGACTATCCTTATTCATCTCTCTTCTTTCTCTGTAGCCTCTTCCTCCTTAATTTGTTTCCTGGATTTTCAAAGTCTTTCAATGAATGGGTTGAAACAAGTTTAAGGGAGTCGTCCCAAGAATTAATTTGTCTTGTCTCAGAGAAGGACAGAGGTTAGCTAGGAACTTAGTAGAGTGTTGTTCCTTTGGGCTAGATCAAAGCTGTCAGAAATGGATCAAATGGATCAGAAAAGGAATTAAAATAAGACTTGCCTGGGGCCAGGTCTGTTGCAAGTGAAGGCATTACTGCTAATAACACAGACGCACAGACACACACACAGAGTGGTTGTTGTTGATAGAAGACATTCTCACACACAAGAGTTCCTAAGAATGCATACTGTCTCTCATTTTCATCTTTTACTACACTATCATTATTTCTTCATTTTTTCAGAGCTGCTTTTGGAAATGGGCATCCCATTTCTATATTCAGCTGCTGCGGG